TGGCTGCTGTTTCTGAGCATCATGATATCATTTCCATACACTTCTGCTTAGAAGTCCCAAGACTGAAAAGTAACTTAGACACAGAGATTCTTGCTTAAACTCTTTGATACGTTTAAAGAATGATCCTTCATGTTTACTGACTTTATCGTTTCTGGTATGTAAAATTTCTCTCCCCAAACACATTGTTCAGTTCTCTAAACACAAAAGCAAAGTTTGTTAGTCCATTTTCGGGAGCACAATACACAGTGTTTTAAACATAAAATTGTTCTTTGAAGACCCAGGTGGTGAATAAAGGAACTAAGATCTTGAGCTCACACTCTTATCCCAGGGTAACTTGCTCACATGTCTTCATTTTACACGAAGTGGACTCCGGGGAGTTGAATGATGGTCTGGACTTAAAGATTTTCACTGAAGGGTTTGAAGGAGATGTTTGAGGTACAGGCACGCACGCCGGGTCTGGAGTCAGGTTACCTGGGACAGAAACCGACAGTGCATGGCTATGTAGCTCCGGTATGCTACTTAACTTTTGGAACCCGATTTCTTCATTTTCATTAATGACATGAGCAGAGTAAGTTTTGCTCTGGCCATTCCCAGGTTTGAGGTGAGGAACGTGGAGATATCAGCATAATTTAAGAAGCAGCAATCAATTAAAAGCGAGAAGTAAGCCCTGGCTGGTGTGGCTCAGTTGGGTGAACGTTGTCCTGTGCACCGAGAGGTCCAGGTTTGATTCCTGCTCAGGGCACATACCGGGTTGCAAGCTCGATTCCCGGTGGGAATGCAGGAGGCAGCCGTCCAGTGTTTCTCTCACAAGGATTTCTTTTTCTCCCTCTCCCTCTAAAATCGATAAAAACATATATAAAAACAGTAAAAATTAAATGAATTAAATAAAAACATGGCCCTGGCCAGTTTGGCTCAGCGATTAGAGCATTGGCCCACAGACCAGAGAGTCCTGAGTTCGGTTCCCGCTAAGGGCACATACCTCGGTTGCAGTTTGTCCCTGGCCCCAGTTGGGGTCATGTGGGTGGCAGCCAGCTGACACATCTCTCTCACATCAATGTTTCTCTTCCTTTTTTTCCCTACCCCACTCTGAAGATAAATGCAAAACATGTCCTTGGGTGAGGATAAAAAAATATATGTATATATGAACCAAAACACAAAAAACAAAATAATTTCTTTATTAATACATAATACAAAGTATTTGTGTTCCTCTACTTCTTCAGACTCTGAGTTTCAAATTAGGGGGGGATGCATTTTTACTTTTACATAATGGGTTTCCAAGAAGACGTTTTCTTTTTAACAAACACTTAAATAGCGCAGTGTGTCAGGCACAAGTAAAGTGTTTTACAATAATGAACTCAACCCTGATTACAAGATTCTGAGGTAGATGCTATTATTGCCCCTGTTTTACAAATGGAAACACTGAGGCACAGAGACATGAAGCGACTTGCTCAAGATTAACTATTACGTAGTGGACCTTGGACTCATCATACCCAGGTGGTCCAGCTCCAAGAATACTTACTTTGACTCCTTCACTCTGCTGTGAGATTGTCTGGCTATGAGGATAAAGATGAGTTGTTCCCTGTTCCAGTTGGAACATTTCATTCAATTACCATGTAGTTCTCATTTTTAAACAGACTTTCTTAGAGTCAGAAAGCAGAAATGGAATTGGGAGTGGACAATTTCCATGGGGGCCTTTGGAACTGAATCCAAGTTTAGGAGAGGGAAGTCTGATGTTCTTCTGCTTCTGGGAACATATGAAATATTTTCAGCCTAGTCTGATTTTATCAGGCAGATGTGCTCCTGAGAGATTTGAATATTTCTTCATGCCACAAATGTTTGTCAGGTCATCCAATGCTTGTATAAAAATACCAGCAAAATCATCCAGAAATGTTTATGTTCTAGCAAATAAATTCATTGTGGGAAACAAGTTCTATTCAGGCCCTATATGCTTTCTCCTTGTATAGTCATATCTGGACAATTTTAAACAGGGAAGTCTGAGGTATACACTCTGGGTGTTTACAAAATTCTTCCTGAGTTAAGTCAGCAAGACCATTTTCCTTAAAACAATGTGGCATCATGTCCTTCTTTATTTGCATTTTTTTTGTCCTTTCTTTAATTTTAATTGAATTAATAGGGGTGACATTGGTTCACCCAACCATACAGTTTTCAAGTATAGAACTCAATAAAACATCATCTGCGCACTGCATCATGTGCCTATCACCCCAAAGTCTCTTTTTGTCCCCATTTCCCCCTCCTTTGCCCACCTCCACCCCGCTTTGCCTCTGGCTAGCACCACACTGTTGTCTGTGTCTATGTGTGATTATATATATAAGCAATGTTTTTTTCCTTAATCCCTTCACCTTCTTTCATCCAGTCCTCCCACCCCCACCAATTCCCTCCCCTCTGACAGCTGTCAATCTGTTCCACGTATCCATGCCTCTGTTTCTGTTTTGTTTGTCAGTTTGTTTTGTTTATTACAGTCCACATATAAGTGAGATCATATAGTATTTGTCTTTCTCTGACTGGTTTATTTCACTTAGCATAACAATCTCCAGGTCCATCCATGCTGTTGCAAAAAAGAAAATATCCTCTTTTTTTTTTTTTTTCAAATCTTTATTGTTGGATGTAAAATGTATTACAGATGTTCCACATTTTCCCCCCATTGACCCCCTCCTCCCCACTCCCGCTCCCCTCCCACCTTTTCCCACACTATTGTCTGTGTCCATTGGTTATGCACATAAGTTCTTTGGTTTATTTCTTCCCACCCCCCCAACCCCTTTCCCTTTGAGGTTTGTCAGTCTAGCAATGAATTTGTGCTTCTTAATCCCTTCACCTTTTTCACCCATTCCCCCAACTCCCTTCCCAACTGGCAAGCAACAAAATGTTCTCTGTATCTATGAGAATGTTTCTGTTCTGCCTGTTCAATTTGTTTGTAGATTCCATTGTTGATAGATATGTATTCATTGCCATTTTGTTTGTTCATACATTTTATCTTTTTCTTCAAAAAGACCCTTCATCATTTCATATAATAACGGTTTGGTAGTGATGAACTCCTTTAACTTTTTCTTGTCTGGGAAAGTTTTTATATGTCCATCAATTCTAAATGATAGCTTTGCAGGATAGAGTAATTTTGGTTGTGGGTTCTTGGTTTTCATCACTCTGAATATTTCTTGCCACTCCCTTCTGGCCTGCAAAGTTTCTTTTGAGAAATCAGCTGACAGCCTAATGGGTACTCCCTTGTAGGTAACTAGCTGCCTTTCTCTTGCTGCTTTTAATATTCTCTCTTTGTCTTGAACCTTTTGCATTTTGATGATGATGTATCTTGGTGTGTGCCTCTTGGGGTTCATCTTGTTTGGGACTCTCTGTGCTTCCTGGACTTGTATGTCTGTTTCCTTCACCAAGTTAGGAAAGTTTTCTGCCATTATTGTTTCAAACAGGTTTTCGATTTCTTGTTCTCTCTCTTCTCCTTCGGGCACCCCCAAGATGCGAATGTTGGCACGCTTGAAGTTGTCCCAGAGGCTCCTTACACTATCCTCATTTTTTTGGATTCTTTTTTCTTTTTGCTGTTCTGATTGGGGATTTTTTGCTTCCTTATATTCCAAATCGATGGTTTGCTCCTTGGATTTACGTACTCTATTATTGAAGCTGTGTAAATTATTCTTTATTTCAGTTAATGCCTCCTTTAATTCTAACTGTGTATCCATGATTTCTAACTGGTCCTCTTTTATGCTCTTGAGGCCCTCCCTAAGTTCACTGAGGTTCTCACTAAGTTCATTGAGCATCCTTATAAGCAGTATTTTGAACTCAGTATCTGTTAGGTTGCTTATCTCCCTTTCGCTTAGTTCTTTTCTTGGGGTTTTGTTCTGTTCTTTCATTTGGGACCTGTTTCTTTGTATCCTCATTTTGGCTGCCTCCCTGTGTTTGTTTCTGTGTATTACTTAATGAGAGGTATGGGGCTCGCTGAGACCCGATGCTGCTCGTTTGAAAGAATTTAGGAAAAACCTGAAGCAGGATCCAAGACCGGCCAATCCTATGGTTAAGCAAGTGGCAACAACTTGGGTGGGCTTGAAAGTTGTGTGGGGCAGGGCCTCAGGGAGTCAGCAGGGCGGGGCTACCAGTGTGAGCCAGGTTGCTGGAGTCCCAGATATGGCTTCTGTCTGCCACCCCAGGGAGGGGCTCACCAAAGGAACAAAGGCCTCTGACAGCACGTCTGTCCTGGAGAAAGCCCCCTCTCCAGCCCTCGCTCCAATGCCAAACAGCTCAGTTCTTCCCTGTATGTCTCTGGTGCCCCTCGAGCTGCCTCCCCTCCAAGCTTAGAGGGAGAGAGTCCGATAAGTTCGTGCGCGGGCCATTAAGGAGCTGCCTGGGGCTCCAGCCAGGTCAGCTTCCCTGAGCCTCAGTTTCTGCTGGTTTTTCCAGCCAGAAGTTATGGGGACTTCTCTTCCTGGCACTGGAACCCTGAACGGGGCACCTGGTGTGGGACGGGGACCCCTCAGTCCTCAGGAAGGACCTTCCCAGCCGCGGGAGCCTCCTGATTTTTATCCGCCACACGTGGGTGTGGGACCAGCCCGTCTCGCCGCCGCCACCACCCCTCGCGCCGCCGCCCGTCCTACCAGTCTGGATGTAGCTGCTTTTTTTTTTTTAAATTCCATAGTTGTACTACTTCCATTCAGCTTGATTTCAGGCGGTTTTGAATGATGGTTGTTCTGTAGTTTAGTTGTAACTTTGATGTGGTTGTGGGAGGACGCGATACCGCGTTTACCTACGCCGCCATCTTGACCGGAGAAAAATATCCTCTTTTTTAATAGCTGAGCAGTATTCCGTTGGGTAAATGTCCTTCTTTATTTTTGTAAAGCTTTCATCTGGGGAAAGACATAGTTGAGCTTTTAAAATAAATCAACTTTATTGACATATAATTAACATGCAATATAATGCATCCATTTTAAGTATATTAAGGCATAATTTTAATTATGAGGCTTCTTTTTCTCTCTAGGTACATATCGAGAATGGAGATGTGGAAGACATTTTGGGAGATCATCTTCCTTGCAGCTGGTTTTGGCTTCATCAAGTCACAGAGAATTGGTAATGCATCAGATTATTAAGTTAAAAATGATGACCTTGCCAAGAACCTAGTGGTAGTGACAATCTTAAAAGAAAATATTACAGAAACTTCATAAATAACAAAAGGGAAATGGTTCTTTAAAAAGAACTTAGGCCCAGCTGGTGTGGCTCAGTGGTTGAGCATCGACCCATACATCCAAGAGGTCTCTGGCTTGATTCTTTGTCAGGGCACATGCCCAGGTTGTGGGCCTGATACCCAGTGGGGGGCATGCAGGAGGTGACCAATAGATGTTCTCTCTCATCGGTGTTTTTATTTCTCCCTCTCTCCCTTTCCCTCTCTCTAAAAATTAATAAAGGAAAAAAAAAATAACTTAGAATCTGGAAGCTTTTAATGAACAATGGGCCCCTGCTTTTTTTTAGAGATTAACCTCAAGTGACCCTTCAACTAAAAAAAAAAGATATTAAAAATACTATACTTCTGAATGTATTACCAGGCTCTCAAAATCTTTTGTAAACATGAGCCTAGTCTACTGATTCTGCATTTTGCTTTGTCTCCTTTGGCAGAGCCATTCTCAGGGGTAATCATCATCACAAGAGGGATAACTTCACCAAATGCTAGTGACACCTCTGAAATTTTGTGCAGTCATTTTAACAGATTGTTGGGACTTTTCAAGATGAAAGTCTCATCAAGAGAAGAATGCTTGAGTAGTCTGTAGCCCCACTGAGACAATATTGAGTTTGAAATATTCATCTATAATTACACAGACTGTTATTTGTTTGAAAAAAAGACATGAAGCTCTCTAAATTTTCCCTTTGGCTCTGACTCTCCTCACTCGTGAACAGAAACTGTGACAGTCTTTTCATGTTTCAAACACCTTCTCAAATCACAAAAAAAGCTGGTAGAGGGGTTAAGAATGTAACACTGCATGAAAATGTAATACATCTCTCAAGCTGCACATGATGAAAGCAATACTTATTTGCCTGAAAAACATCCTGCAGCTGTGAGGTTTCTCCTGATTGGGAAGATTAGAAAAATTTTATAGTCTGTGTTCGGTCTCTTCTGAAAGAGATGTTAAGGAGACTAACCTGTTGGCCATCCCTGGAGCACTCACAGGATTCTCTCCTTCTAACAGGGTAGCATTTTGGAGGGCCAAAGGGAAATAAAGGTTAGAGGGCTTTAAGCTCATATATTATCTGCCTTTTCAATAATCATGATGACAAAGATTAGGCCAAATTCCAAGAGGTGGGGGTTTTCAGGACTCTAGTTAATTAAAAAAAAGTTTTTTTCTTTATTGATTTTTAGAGAGAAAGGAAGGGAGAATGAGAAAGAGAGATAGAAACACTGATGAGAGAGAACATCGATTGGCCACCTCCTGCACACCCCCACTGGGGACTGGGCCCACGACCTGGGCATGTGCCTGACTGGGAATTGAACCAGCAACCTCTTGTTGGTGGGTCAATGCTAACCACTGAGCCACACCAGCTGGGTGCAACAAGTGAATTTAATGTTTCTGGAGTATAGCAACCTTCCCAGCCCTTCTCTCTCTAAACTCTCATGTGGTCTTTGCCTTTCGGTAATGTGAACTTTTAATTTAATCTTCCTTATGGCAGTGCAGGGTTTGGACTGGTTTCCAATACTGGCTCTATGAATGGATTTACATGGGTTACTTTGCCTTTCTAGGTCTTACTTTCCTTATCTGTGAGATGGATGAATTGGATTCATTATTCTATACTTGGACTGTTCAATACAGTGGCTGCTAGACACATATGACTATTTAAATTACAATATATTAAAAGTTGACATAAAATTTAAAATTTACTTTCTCAGTTGTACTAGCTACATTTCAAGTGCTCAATAGACACATGTACTTAGTGGCTACAGTATTGCATTGCATAGTCTCATAAAATTATGTCTAGATCTAAAATTTTCTGATTCCCTTACTTGGTTTCATTCATGTTTAATGTCTTCTCCTTTCCTCTTTCTCTCTCTCTCCCTTTCTTTCCCCCAAATATTTCCTTCCTCAAATATGTTTTGGGTAACTACTCTATGCTAGACACTCAAGTGGCGGACAAACAAAAGATATGGTGTCTGTTTCCATGGAGCTCACAGTCTAGTTGATGAGATTGCCATTAATTGAATGAGTATGTTAATGAGTATGTTACAAACCAAGATAAAAACAAACAAACATGATTCTATGGGAATTTAGCAGAAAAAAAAGAGAGAAAGAAAGAAAGGATGAAGGAAAGATAAAAGAAAAAGAAAGAAGAAAAAGAAAGTTGCCAGAGGCAAGTAGGAGCATGGGAAGTTTGAGAATCTGCACTAAGGAGCCTGACACAGAAAACAAAGGAGAGGGTAGAGGGATAAAGCTAGAGAGGGGCGCAGGGCCAGTCCAAGGCAGTATTTTAACCCTTCAGGCACAAAACCAAATGTAAGACATGTTTAACTAGTCTGAGATCATTGTCCCTTGGTTTTTCAGCCACTTGAAACTAAAACCATCCTGAACTGGTTTCTGCTTTTGTTTCTCCTGTCATCACAAATTTGTGTGTTCTTCTCCCATCATCACAGATAATGAAATTGTGAAGTATTGGGGTGATGGGGAGAAATCATGGTGGTTACTGAGAAGTAGATAGATCATAACATCTCTTCTTTTTGTCTACACAAGCACGGTGCTTAATCCATATTTTACTTCTCATCACAGAACAGCAAAGTTTGAAGATACCAGGTCATCTGGTCAATCCTTTATTCTAGAGAAATACAGTTTGACAAAGAGGGAGATTAGCTGTTTGCTCAAGTCCTGCAGCCACCTGGCGGGTGTCGGATTCCTTCCATGCTGGGGACCAGGATGGGCCCAGCTGGAGTACCACTCAGTCTGGTCACTGTTGGGATTGTGATTTCCAGGATTAGAGCTGGGTTTGGGAGAAATAGTTGCACCATGTGTCCTTGAATTCAGGGAGCCAAAGGACAAATGTGAGCCATTTTTGGTAATGCCACCAGTCAAACCAAAAAGGGCTGGTGGTAGCCAGGGAGTGCCAGAGGTCAAAGCTGAAAAACTGATGTCTTAGTTCAAGTTCTCTAGAAACAGAGCCCAGAACAGGGATTTGGTGAATGGATTATTTGGAGGGAGTACTCTTTAGAACAAATCTGTAAGGGAGTGGGAGAAGTTGAGATAGGATAGTAGGGCAAGAAAGGAAGCAAGGATGTAGCCTCAGGTAAAACTAAGCCTTGGCCTGAGTCATGGGAGAAACTGGAGCATAAATAACACCATGAAGTAGTTTCAGTTAAGGCAAGGGGGCCAGGTGTTTGTATCCCCCGGTATTCAAACATTGGCCACCCAGGGTGGTGGAGTTTATGTATCTTCCCAGATGTTTCCAGATAAGGTTGTTCCCTTCAGCCAGAAGCAGGTTTCTGGACAAAGTCCTAGACTGGAGCAGTTAACTGTTGCACCTGAAGTAACTGGAACATAAATGTGCTAGCTGGCCAAGGAGATTTAGGTGGGATATCAATGGCATTCCCTACTGGTAGAAAGCTGGTTTCTTTTTCTTTTTAAAAAATATTGATTTATTTATTATGGTTGACATACACTATTATATTAGTTTCAGGTGTACAACATAGTGGTTAGACATTTATATAACTTGTTAAGTGATCACCCTGATAAGTCTAGTACCCATCTGACACCCTACCTAGTTATTACAATATTGTTGACTATATTCCCTATGCTGTACTTTACATCCCCATGACTGTTTTTATAACTGGCAATTTGTACATCTTAATTCATTCCCAGTTTTTACCCACTCCCCAACCTCCCTCCTATCTGGCAACCATCAATTTGTTCTCTGTATGTATGAGTTTGTTTTGTTGTTTATTTTTAAAAATTCCATATATAAATGAAATTATATGGTATTTGCCTTTCTCTGTCTGACTATTTCTCTTAGCATAATACCCTCTATCTAGGTCCATCCATGTTGTTGCAAATGGTAAGAATTCATCTTTTTAATGGCTGAGTAATATTCCATTGAATATATGTACCACATATTCTTTATTCATTCGCCTATAAATAGATCTTAGGTTGCTTTTATATCTTGGCTTTTTAAAATAATGCTGCAGTGAACATAGGTGTGTATATGTCTTTTTGAATTAGTATTTTGGATTTCTCCAGATAAATACCCAGAAGTGGAGTATTGATAGTTCTATTAAAAATAGTTCTATTTTTAATTTTTTGAGAAACCTCCATACTAGATTGCACCAATTTACAATACCACCAATAGTGCACAAGGGTTCCCTTTTATCCACATCCTTAACACTTGTTGCTCATTGATTTATTGACAATAGCCATTCTGACAAGTGTGAAGTGACATTTCATTGTGGTTTTAATTTGCATTTCCTTGTTGATTAGTGACGCGGAGCATCTTTGCACATGTCTATTGGCTATCTCTGTGTCCTCTTTGGAGAAGTGTCTATTCAGATCCTCTGCATTTTTTAATTGGATTGTTTGTTTTTTTGGTGTTAAGTTGTTTGAGTTCCTTATATATTTTTGGATATTAACCCCTTGTTGGATGTATAACATTGGTGAATATCTTCTCCCATTCAGTAGGTTGTCTCTTCGTTTTGTTGATGGTTTCTTTTGCCTGCAAAACCTATTTAGTTTGATGTAGTCCTATTTGTTTACTTCTTTTTTTTGTTTGTTTCCTGGGTTGCTTTTCTTTCTTTTTTTTTATCCTCACCCGAGGACATTTTTCCTTTTTTTTTGTTCAGATAGAGTGGGAGGGAGAGAGAGGAACAGAGAGAGAGAGAGAGAAACATCAACGTGAAAGGGACACATCAAGTGGCTGCCACCCGCACGACCAACCAGGGCCGGGGACCAACTGCAACCGAGGTACATGCCCTTAGCGGGAACCGAACCCGGGTCTTTCTGGACCACAGGCTCACTCTCTAACCACTGAGCCAAACCGGCCAGGGCTCCTGGGTTGCTTTCATTAAGTCTGAGGAATGAATGGAGGGTCATGGTCAGGGATCTAATTGA